CCACACACACACACACTCCCACTGCACTGGGGGCACCAGTCCTCCCAGTACCCCATAAATCCCCCAGCTTGTTGTGCTGCACAGAAGGTTTTATCTCTCTCCTTCTTTATGAAACACAATTTAATTTAAATTGGTATTTCTGTATTTTAACTACCAGTCCCTGGGCTCCCAGGTGGCCCAGCTGCTCCCCAGGGGCCAGGAGGACTGAGGTGCTGCAGGCTGGGGCTTGTCACCCCTCTCCCTCCTGGGCACCCACAGACCTGTCCCACTCCCTCTGTGCCCCATGGCTGTGCGAGGCAACCTGGGGCTGGGAGGGGGACACCCTGGGGTGTCCCTTCCCCCCTGGGCTTTCTTCTCTGTTCTAAAGCACCCCAGTATTTTGCAACCATGTTTAGGTTTTGGCTTTTATAGGTGAGTAAATTCTAGCCTTTTTATGTGCAGAAAAAGGCTGGGAAAAATAATCTGTGTGTGTCCCAGCATCTTGTGGAGGCAGCTGCAAGGGCTTTGCTTGTATTAAATCTCATGATTTTTCACCAAAGACGGTCTTCCCCAAACCCATCCCCTCTGGGTGTGAAGGGACCAAATGATGAAAAATCTTTCCAGCAGAATGCAACCCCTAACCCAGTCCCACCTCCTCACCTGTGTCCCTGAGGCCAGTGTGACCCTGCGATGGCTGTGCCCCCTGCCCTGTCCCCCCCAGCCCCTGCTGGGGCATCCCCCCCAGCTCCCCCATGTTGGGGCAGGCTTTGCTGAGTGGTGTGACCTGGCTGACTGAGTGTGTACCCCCAGCTCTCCTCCTTACCCAGAATCCCACCTGAATCTCTTGGACCTCCCTGTTTTTATGGCCCTGGGCACCACCAAGGCTTTGACTCAGGGACCTGGCATCCAAGGGAGGCACCAGTCCCAGTGCACACTGGGGACTCCATGGTGGGAGCCATCACTCTGCCACTTACCACAGTCCATGCATACCATGTACAGTTAATTTGTTAATTAGCATCTTTCTGCTGCTGAGCTGCCTGCTTTACTGCCATTGAAGTTTGCTGTGCCCTTTGCAGCCACCTTTGCTGCTCAGCCTGTTGCCCCCCTCCCAAAACGAAGGACCTGCCTGGGTTGCAAATGGCTAATGATGGGGTGCAGCAGAGCTGTACCATAGCCAGGGCTTGCCCTGGTCCTGTGGAGTCCTCCCCTCCCGGTGGAAGCCTCCTCCTCCTCCATCTCTCCATCCCCTCTGTCCTTCCCATCCCTCGGGTCCCAGGCACACAAGAAATGCAGGGAAAGACGCCAGCCGCTCCTAAAGTTGTGACGAAGATTTCTGCAGAATGCCTTAATGAGCCTCCCTTTCTTACAGCCTCCAAAAATGCTCTGGTAAAAGAAAATCTATACATCATATCACGGGAAACAAATGCCCAACCTTTGCCAGTTTATGTCTATTCTTCATCAGGGAGGATCGAACTAAGTGGGAACATGATATAAATCCCAGCAGAGCCAAGACAGGGAGGCAAGGACCGAGCACCCCTGCATCCCTGCAGCTCCCAGCATGGGTGGGCTCTCAATCAGCCGGCTGGGATTTTCTCACTCTTTCAAGATTTCACGGGAAATTAATGAGGAGGCCAAATTCTCCTCCAGCTCTTGGAGGAGGCCGGGGCAGGCGGTGCCTGGGCCCGCTGAGCTGGCAGATGTTGTTTAACATTCCCGGCAGTAATTAATAGGCAGCTTCATCACTCTTGTATGATTCAAGCATGTCGTCCTGCTTCTCTCCAAATACAGAGCAGAAATATTTGTTAAACGTGGCTGGCGTTTTCACCTGATCATTAGTGCCTGAGCAGCTCCAGCGGCTGTGGGATTTATTGCCTTGCCAGGATTTCTTTTGGCCTCACGATGCCATCACCATCCCTCCCTCTGCTGCTGGCCCCTCCTGGCGAGAGCCTCCCTTTATCACTTTCCCTGTGATTTATGTCCAGCCGGTTGCAACCTCTCCTTTACACCACAGTTATGGATTCCCCCTTTTCCATTCCTTACACTCCAGCAGGATGGTCTTTGGCCAAACCGTCTCCCTGACCAGAGATGCTGGTTGAAGTTCAGCCCAACTGGGCCTGATAACAGAAAGTGGTGGCTTGAGGAGCAGCAGTAGAGCTGGCTTGAGGCAAATGGCATTCCATTAGCCAGCATCACTGGTGCCCCAGGGAATCACAAATTAATAGGAGCCTTCCAGCTTGTCCTCAGTCGCAAACAAAAGCAAGTGGGGTCCCTCCAGGAGTGCCCTGCTCATGGCAGTGGCATGGCACAGTGTCAGTCCCCATGCCCAGAGTGGGGACATGGTGGGGACACAGGGAACAGGTGCTCAGCAAGACCCCAGTGGCCATCCTGATGGGGAGGGAAAGGGATGCTGCCACTGCTGTCTGCCTGGATGAGCTGGGGCTGCCAAGGTGCCCAGGGTCTGGACTCAGCCCTGCCCTGGCTGGGGGAGCAGGGGTCCCACGCAGCCTGGCATCTCCAAGGCACAGCCTGGCCCTGGCTCCCATCCCCTCCCACAGCCCCACATGGCTCAGGAACCAGTCCCAGCTCTGCTGGCCCCAGCACGCTCCAGCCCCGTGTCCTGTGGCATGGGGTGCGGGAGCTGCCCCGCGTTACACCCCTCCCCAGTGTGGCCCTCTGCAGACCGGTCACTATGTTAAGCCATCTCTTAATTAATCAGGCTGATTGTAATGTGTTTTTAGGGCATTAAAATTCAATTGTGGAATTCTCCGCTGGCTGGGCTCGCGATGAATACAGAAGTTTGCCTAATTAGAGCTGACACGCAGCCGGCGGGAGAACCAGACAAACGGCCCCGCCAGGGCTGCCCGCCTGCGTCCCCGCGCCCAGCCCCCAGCATCCCCGTCCCTGCCGCTGCGGGAACCAGCACCGGCAGCCCCTGCCGTGGGCACGGGGAGGGCAGCGCTGCCTGCGGTGCCCCTGGGGACAGCCCCCGCCCTGCGCCCGTGCCAGCCCCCTGAGCCGGGCACCAGCCAAGAGCACCAGAGATGTTTCCTTATCGGCAGCATCAGGTCTTCGCTGTCATTACCACGGCAATTATCATCTCATTTGGAGTCTTTAGCTGCCATAATCTGTCTCTTGCACTGATTTATTCCGCAGGCCTCTTCCCCAGCCGTGCAGGAGGGAAGGAGCCATCAATAAGGAGGCAACAAGCTCCGTCTCCCGGGGAAGCGTCTCCCCGTCCGGAGCTGAGCGGGGGTGCCCCGTGGCCGGACCATCTTCCCGGGCAAGAGCCAGGCTGTCCCCACGGCCCTGTGTGGCTGGGGCCAAACCAAAACCTGCCACCTCCTGGCACCAGTTCGGAGCCAGTTTCCCCAAGCATGGTGCATGTTTACTATTTCGGCTGCTGTTGGCACCGGCACACACGGGGCTGAACCAACCACGCACGCTGGGAAGCAGAGGAGGGTGTTCACTCCGCGGGGTCACAGAGGGACACTCAGGCCGCAGCTTCCTTGTCTTTCTCCTGTCTCCCGACCTGGCTGTTGCTTGGAGCTGGTTTTCCCTCTGGCTGCTTCAGTCAGTTTTCTCACCTGCATTTGCCAACTGCCAACTCGCACTCACTGCTCCCGGCTTTCCCATTTCCCTGGGCTCTGTGCAGCTCCTGCCTCCTCTTTCACCTTCCCTCGCAACCCGAACGTCTGGGACTTTTCCAGACAGCAGTTTGGTGGCAGCCCTGGGGACAGTGACAGGCACCAGGCAGAGCTCCACAGGTACCGCCAGCTGCCCCAGAGGAGAGGCAGAGGGATGGGACGGGGACAGTGGGGCAGTGCCAGGTGACTGACCGCCCTGAGTGGACTCATGCCACGGCCGGAGTCACCCAGGGGCTGCTGTGTGCGATCGCCGCAGCTCCGTGGGCCGGGGTGTCACTCCTGCCTGGCTCTGGCGCATGAGAGGCCGTGGCTGTGCCCTGCTCCTCACCGCCTGCTCCTCTGCCCGCCCCTCTGTCCCTGCCAGGAGGGAGCTGTGCTGGGCCAGGCACGGGGCAGGCTGGGGCCGTGCTGTTGGGCTGGGAGCTGGTGCATCCCCTGGGAAGGGCCCAGCAGTGAGAGGTGACGCAGCGGGGGGCTGTCTGCTCACACCAGCCCTCCCTGGGCGCTACTGCCTTTAACATCACCCCAGAGCAGAAGGGGGGATCCCCTGGCTGCCATGAGCCGCCAGTCCAGCTCCCTCCACACATGGGGTCCCCCAGGCATGGGTACTGATGGCAGCAGTCACCCTCACTGCATGCACAGAGCAGGATGGCATCCCTGCAGTGCCTGCAGGAGGGACACTCTGTGCCCCCAGCCTCGCTGACACCCTGAGCAAGACGCAGTGCCACAGCAGCCCTGCTGCCCCTGCTTGCTCCCACCTGCACCCCCATGTCTGTGGTGGGAGGCCTGGGGCATGTGTGGGGTCGGTGGGACAAGGGGAAGCCACTGGGTCTGGGCACAGGCAGGAAGCCACCAGTCAAGCCCCACGGCACAGCTGAGTCTGGCTGTGGGGCACAGCAGATTGGGGCAGGCAGAGTGGCAGCAGTGCCACTGGTCCTCACAGCTCCATCCCAGTCCAGTGACACAGCTCCCATTCCACCCCTGTACCCGCCACAGTTCAACCTGCCTAATGGAATCCATTTATATGCAAAATCCCTAGAAAAAAGCAGTAATTAATGAAGTCCCTTTCATTACCATTATGCAAATGCGATTAATTTCAGCTGTTATGAATATGCAAATATTACAATTATGATCTAATTGCCAATGTGTGTAGGGGAGTGGGCAGAATATCAAGTCTCAGCCCAGGCCCCAGGAGCTTTGAGGTGTGGAGTTGCTCTGGGACATGGCAGGCAGGAGGGGGAGCCCATGGGGGGGATGCCCAGCTGGGGGGCCTCTGCCTGCTCCTGTGGGCTCAGCAGGAGCGTGTGTGGGGCCAGGCAGCAGGGACACACCTTGGCCACCGCCTGCCCATGCATGGGCCCTCTTTACCACACACCCCC